ACAGAATACTCGATGCCTGTGGAGAGACGACTCTGCCTGTGAGCTGTTGGATTGGCGGTCAGCGCTTGAAACATCACACACCGATGCTCACAAGTCAGTGGTTAGTTACTCTTTGACTCACTTTGTCTACTCCATCTCCATGCGTTTCTCTGCCCAGGAGGACGCGATCATCTCTGGCATCATTCACTTCGGCACCGACACAACACCATGGATCATACAGCGGAAGACACGAGCCAAGACCAGAGCAAGAACCTCTCCGCCGCCCCTCCCGGTCTTGGAGATATCGACCCGGAACTGCTTCTCCCCTCTTTGCGAGTCGGAACGCGACGACGCCGTGGTCATCGGCACGCCAATGGTCCGTCATGTCCGTGCTACCTCAGGTAAGGATAAGGTGCGCACTCACTGCTTTCCTGGTGCTCATGTTCTTGATGTTGCTGCACAGGTTCCTGAGATCCTGAACGGTGATGAGCGCGTCGGAGCTGTTGTGCTGAACGTGGGAGCGAACGACATCAGGCTGAGGTTCTGAAGGACTACAGGAGCCTGATCGAGACGGTACGCAACACATCGCCTGAAGCAACGAGCCTTGCACATCTAACCCTTTCTGGGTCTTCTTTAAATAATCTTTTCTAGATTTTTTTTTTCGACTAAGTTTCACTAGTCGTCTTCTAATTGATTTATCTTTAAAAAAGAAAATAAATTTCTAATCCTTAAGCACATCCACGCACACGCTATTTAGCTGGCGTTTAACTGTTCAATTACTGGCCAGAATTGAACAGTTAAAGCCCCACGCTGGGCGCCATGTTTTACGGTGTGCTTTAATCTTAACACCTTTTAACCTTATTATTTATTATCCTCAGGTTAGGTCGAATAAGTCAAATCTGCCCTAGATCATTAGCATTCGATTGATATTTACAATTGTTCAGATGACTTCTCTGTGGTCAGTTCTCGCTTAAGGTTTATTAACACTGCTAGACGATTACTTGTAATTAGCATTACTTATTTATTAATGTAAATATTCCAGAAATAAAAGTTAGGCTCAAATTTAAATTCCTCATGCTCAAACTCTGGAATCTACTCCTGTGTAAGGGAAATCATTATCGAAATCAGCTATGCTAATTATTTCCCATCTGTTTTCTGCTGTTATCTCGGGACGCTTGTCCCGAGAAAAATGGCGTTCGTCAACTTCAGTTTGTCGGAGCTGCTGTACTGCACGTGGGAGTGAACGACATCAGGCTGAGGTTCTGAAGAAGTTCTACAGGAGCCTGATCGAGACGGTATGCAACACATCGCCTGAAGCAACGATCATTGTGTCTGGGCTGCTTCCCACGTACAGACAAGGACAGGAAAGGTTCAGTAGATTATTTGCACACACCTAATAAATAGTAAGTCAAAGTCCAAATCACAGTCTTTGTTGTCCAAACTTAATTGATATGCTTAGTGTGGAACATTATCTTGAAACTGTGTCTATTCCTCGTTAAGTGACTCCTGTGGAGAGACGACTCTGCCTGTGAGCTGCTGGATCGGCGGTCAGCGCTTGAAACATCACATGCCGATGCTCACAAGTCAGTGGTTAGTTACTCTTTGACTCACTTTGTCTACTCCATCTCCATGCTTTTCTCTGCCCAGGACGCTTGTCCCGAGAAAAATGGCGTTCGTCAACTCCAGTTTGTTGGAGCTGCTGTACTGCACGTGGGAGTGAACGACATCAGGCTGAGGTTCTGAAGAAGTTCTACAGGAGCCTGATCGAGATGGTACACAACACCTGAAGCTACTATCATTGTGTCTGGGCTGCTTCCCACGTACAGACAAGGACAGGAAAGGTTCAGTAGATTATTTGCACACACCTAATAAATAGTATGTCAAAGTCCAAATCACAGTCTTTGTTGTCCAAACTTAATTGATATGCTTAGTGTGGAACATTATCTTGAAACTGTGTCTATTCCTTGTTTAGTGATTCCTTTGGACAGAATACTCGATGCCTGTGGAGAGACGACTCTGCCTGTGAGCTGCTGGATTGGCGGTCAGCGCTTGAAACATCACACACCGATGCTCACAAGTCAGTGGTTAGTTACTCTTTGACTCACTTTGTCTACTCCATCTCCATGCTTTTCTTTGCCCAGGAGGACGCGATCATCTCTGGCTTCATTCACTTCGGCACCGACACAACACCATGGATCACACAGCGGAAGACACGAGCCAAGACCAGAGCAAGAACCTCTCCGCCGCCCCTCCCGGTCTTGGAGATATCGACCCGGAACTGCTTCTCCCCTCTTTGCGAGTCGGAACGCGACGACGCCGTGGTCATCGGCACGCCAGTGGTCCGTCATGTCCGTGCTAACTCAGGTAAGGATAAGGTGCGCACTCACTGCTTTCCTGGTGCTCATGTTCTTGATGTTGCTGCACAGGTTCCCGAGATCCTGAACGGTGATGAGCGCGGCGGAACTGTTGTGCTGAACGTTTGAGCGAACGACATCAGGCTGAGGTTCTGAAGGACTACAGGAGCCTGATCGAGACGGTACGCATCACATCGCCTGAAGCAACGAGCCTTGCACATCTAACCCTTTCTGGGTCTTCTTTAAATAATCTTTTCTAGATTTTTTTTTTTCGACTAAGTTTCACTAGTCGTCTTCTAATTGATTTATCTTTAAAAAAGAAAATAAATATCTAATCTTTAAGCACATCCACACACACGCTATTTAGCTGGCGTTTAACTGTTCAATTACTGGCCAGAATTGAACAGTTAAAGCCCCACGCTGGGCACCATGTTTTACGGTGTGTGCTTTAATCTTAACACCTTTTAACCTTATTATTTATTATCCTCAGGTTAGGTCGAATAAGTCAAATCTGCCCTAGATCATTAGCATTCGATTGGTATTTACAATTGTTCAGATGACTTCTCTGTGGTCAGTTCTCGCTTAAGGTTTATTAACACTGCTAGACGATTACTTGTAATTAGCATTACTTATTTATTAATGTAAATATTCCAGAAATAAAAGTTAGGCTCAAATTTAAATTCCTCATGCTTAAACTCTGGAATCTACTCCTGTGTAAGGGAAATCATTATGGACATCAGCTATGCTAATTATTTCCCATCTGTTTTCTGCTGTTATCTCGGGACGCTTGTCCCGAGAAAAATGGCGTTTGTCAACTCCAGTTTGTCGCAGCTGCTGTACTGCACGTGGGAGTGAACGACATCAGGCTGAGGTTCTGAAGAAGTTCTACAGGAGCCTGATCGAGATGGTACACAACACCTGAAGCTACTATCATTGTGTCTGGGCTGCTTCCCACGTACAGACAAGGACAGGAAAGGTTCAGTAGATTATTTGCACACACCTAATAAATAGTAAGTCAAAGTCCAAATCACAGTCTTTGTTGTCCAAACTTAATTGATATGCTTAGTGTGGAACATTATCTTGAAACTGTGTCTATTCCTCGTTAAGTGACTCCTGTGGAGAGACGACTCTGCCTGTGAGCTGCTGGATTGGCGGTCAGCGCTTGAAACATCACTCGCCGATGCTCACAAGTCAGTGGTTAGTTATTCTTTGACTCACTTTGTCTACTCCATCTCCATGCGTTTCTCTGCCCAGGAGGACGCGATCATCTCTGGCATCATTCACTTCGGCACCGACACAACACCATGGATCACACAGCGGAAGACACGAGCCAGAGCCAGGACCAGAGCAAGAACCTCTCCGCCGCCCCTCCTGGTCTTGGAGATCTCGACCCGGAACCGCTTCTCCCCTCTTAGTGAGCCGGAACGCGACGCCACCGTGATCATGGGCACGTCCATGGTCAGTCATGTCCGTGCTACCTCAGGTAAGGATAAGGTGCGCACTCACTGCTTTCCTGGTGCTCATGTTCTTGATGTTGCTGCACAGGTTCCCGAGATCCTGAAAGGTGATGAGCGCGTCGCAGCTGTTGTGCTGAACGTGGGAGCGAACGACATCAGACTGAGGTTCTAAAGAAGTTCTACAGGAGCCTGATCGAGATGGTGCGCAACACATCGCCTGAAGCTACGATCATCGTGTCTGGGCTGCTTCCCACGTACAGACAAGGACAGGAAAGGTTCAGTAGATTATTTGCACACACCTAATAAATAGTAAGTCAAAGTCCAAATCACAGTCTTTGTTGTCCAAACTTAATTGATATGCTTAGTGTGGAACATTATCTTGAAACTGTCTATTCCTTGTTTAGTGACTCCTGTGGACAGACTACTCGATGCCTGTGGAGAGACGACTCTGCCTGTGAGCTGCTGGATTGGCGGTTAGCGCTTGAAACATCACATGCCGATGCTCACAAGTCAGTGGTTGGTTACTCTTTAACTCACTTTGTCTACTCCATCTCCATGCTTTTCTCTGCCCAGGAGGACGCGATCATCTCTGGCTTCATTCACTTCGGCACCGACACAACACCATGGATCGTACAGCGGAAGACACGAGCCAAGACCAGAGCAAGAACCTCTCCGCCGCCCCTCCCGGTCTTGGAGATCTCGACCCGGAACCGCTTCTCCCCTCTTAGCGAGCCGGAACGCGACGCCACCGTGATCATGGGCACGTCCATGGTCCGTCATGTCTGTGCTACCTCAGGTAAGGATAAGGTGCGCACTCACTGCTTTCCTGGTGCTCATGTTCTTGATGTTGCTGCACAGGTTCCTGAGATCCTGAACGGTGATGAGCGTGTCGGAGCTGTTGTGCTGAACGTGGGAGCGAATCAACGAGCAAGAACCTCTCCGTCGCCCCTCCCGGTCTTGGAGATCTCGACCCGGAACCGCTTCTCCCCTCTTCGCTAGTTGGAACGCGACGCCACCGTGAACATGGGCACGTCCATGGTCCGTCAATACCGTGCTACCTCAGGTAAGGATAAGGTGCGCACTCACTGCTTTCCTGGTGCTCATGTTCTTGATGTTGCTGCACAGGTTCCTGAGCTCCTGAACGGTGATGTGCGCATCGGAGCTGTTGTGCTGAACGTGGGAGCGAACGACATCAGGCTGAGGTTCTAAAGAAGGACTACAGGAGCCTGATCGAGACGCAACACATCACCTGAAGCAACGATCGTGTCTGCACTGCTTCCCACTTACAGACATGACTAGTAAGTCAAAGTCCAAATCACAGTTTTTGTTGTCCAAACTTAATTGATATGCTTAGTGTGGAACATTATATTGAAACTTTGTCTGTTCCTTGTTTAGTGACTCTTGTGGAGAGACGACTCGATGGCTGTGAGCCGCTGGATCAGCGGTCAGCACTTGAAACATTACATGCCGATGCTCAAAAGTCAGTGGTTGGTTACTCTTTGACTCTGAGTTCATCTACTCCATGCGTTTCTCTGCCCAGGAGGACGTGATCATCTCTGGCTTCATTCACTCCGGCACCGACACAACACCATGGATCACACAGCGAAAGACACGAGCCAGTACCAGAGCTAGAACCTCTCCGCCGCCCCTCCCGGTCTTGGAGATCTCGACCCGGAACTGCTTCTCCCCTCTTGGTGAGTCGGAACGCGACGCCACCGTGATCATGGGCACGTCCATGGTCCGTCATGCACCGTGCTACCTCAGGTAAGGATAAGGTGCGCACTCGCTGCTTTCCTGGTGCTCATGTTCTTGATATTGCTGCACAGGTTCCCGAGATCCTGAACGGTGATGAGCGTGTCTCAGCTGTTGTGCTGAACGTGGGAGCGAACTACATCAGGCTGAGGTTCTAAAGAAGGACTAAAGGAGCCTGATCGAGACGGTACGCAACACATCGCCTGAAGCAACGAGCCTTGCACATCTAACCCTTTCTGGGTCTTCTTTAAATAATCTTTTCTAGATTTTTTTTTTGACTAAGTTTCATTAGTCGTCTTCTTATTGATTTATCTTTAAAAAAGAAAATATATTTCTAATCCTTAAGCACATCCATGCACATGCTATTTAGCTGGCGCTTAACTGTTCAATTACTGGCCAGAATTGAACAGTTAAAGCCCCCCGCTGGGTGCCATGTTTTACGGTGTGCGCTTTAAACTTAACACCTTTTAACCTTATTATTTATTATCCTCAGGTTAGGTCGAGTAAGTCAAATCTGCCCTAAATTATTAGCATTCGATTGGTATTTACAATTGTTCAGATGACTTCTCTGTGGTCAGTTCTTGCTTAAGGTTTATTAACAACACTGCTAGATGATTACTTGTAATTAGCATTAGTTATTTATTAATGTAAATATTCCAGAAAGAAAAGTTAGGCTCAAACTTAAATTCTTTATGCTCAAACTCTGAAATTACTCCTGTGTAAGGGAAATCATTATGGACATCAGCTATGCTAATTATTTCCCATCTGTTTTCTGCTGTTATCTCGGGACGCTTGTCCCGAGAAAAATGGCGTTCGTCAACTTCAGTTTGTCGGAGCTGCTGTACTGCACGTGGGAGTGAACGACATCAGGCTGAGGTTCTGAAGAAGTTCTACAGGAGCCTGATGGAGACGGTATGCAACACATCGCCTGAAGCAACGATCATCGTGTCTGGGCCACTTACCACGTACAGACAAGGACAGGAAAGGTTCAGTAGATTATTTGCACACACCTAATAAATAGTAAGTCAAAGTCCAAATCACAGTCTTTGTTGTCCAAATGTAATTGATATGCTTAGTGTGGAACATTATATTGAAACTGTCTATTCCTTGTTTAGTGACGCCTGTGGAGAGACGACTCAACGCCTGTGGAGAGACGACTCAACGCCTGTGGAGAGACGACTCTGCCTGTGAGCTGCTGGATCGGCGGTCAGCGCTTGAAACATCACACGCCGATGTTCACAAGTCAGTGGTTAGTTGCTCTTTGACTCTGACTTCGTCTACTCCATGTGTTTCTTTGCCCAGGAGGACGCGATCATCTCTGGCTTCATTCAGTCCGGCACCGACACAACACCCTGGATCACACAGCGGAAGACGTGAGCCAGGACCAGAGCTAGAACCTCTCCGCCGCCCGGAACTGCTTCTCCACTCTTCTCGAGTCGGAACGCGACGCCACCGTGATCATGGGCACATCCATTATCCGTCATGTTCGTGCTACCTCAGGTAAGGATAAGGTGCGCACTCACTGCTTTCCTGGTGCTCATGTTCTTGATGTTGCTGCACAGGTTTCCGAGATCCTGAACGGTGATGAGCGCGTCGGATCTGTTGTGCTGAACGTGGGAGCGAACGACATCAGGCTGAGGTTCTGAAGGACTACAGGAGCCTGATCGAGATGGTACGCAACACATCGCCTGAAGCAATGATCATCGTGTCTGAACTGCTTCCCTCTTACAGACAAGGACAGGAAAGGTTCAGTAGTCTATTTGCACTAATTGAATTAATAATGTCATTGTGTAATGAACAGAAACTGCTCTTTGTAAATAATTGGAATCTGTTCTGGGAGAGACCTAGGCTCTATTATGCTTCACCTCAGCAGAATCGGAGCGGCTGTTCTGTCTGACATCTCCAAGACGTTACACACCTAATGACTAGTAAGTCAAAGTCGCTCCTTTGAAAGGAATGTTTCTCCTGGTTCCATCTCTTGGACTGATGTCTCTGCCTGTAAGGCTATCTTTTGCCATCCTAATATACGAGAATCACCCCATGTACATGGTTGTATAAAAGTCATGCTGGATTTTTCCTGGGCTTTTGCTGCCATAGCTTAGCCTCTTTGGAATAGACTTATTAGACTTTCAATCACCCTTCAACTTATTTCTTATGTGCACATCTAACCTGTTTTCGGTGTTAAACTTAGTCGAAAAAAAGATACTAATCTAGAAAAGATTATTTGTCTAGTCGTCTTCTATTTGATTCTTTTTTTTCCCAAAAAAAGAAAATACATATTTAATCCTTATGGATATCCACAGACATGCTATTTAGAAGGCACTTAACTGTTCAATTACTGGCCAGAATTGAACAGTTAAAGCCCCACGTTGTGCGCCATGTTTTACGGTGTGTGTGCGCTTTAATTTTAACACCTTTAACATTATTATTTTTTATCCTCAGGTTAGGTCGAATAAGTCAAATCTGCCCTAAATTATAAGCGTTCAAATGGTACTTACAATTTGTTAAGATGACTTCTCTGTGGTCAGTTCTTGCTTAAGGATTATTAACGACACTGCTAAACAATTGCTTGTAATTAACATTAGTTATTTATTAATGTAAATATTCCAGAAATAAAAGTTAGGCTCAAACTTAAATTATTTACGCTCAAACTCTGGAATATCCTCCCAATATGGTTTGACGCTCTGACTCGCTGTCAAAGTTTAAAACTAGACTAAAGACTGAATCAGGTCGACTGCTTTTAATACTTTAAAACTTGAAGAGTCTGTAGGTTACTTGTATAGGTTGCATAGTATTTACAGTCATTACTTTTCCTGTGTGTATTGTGTGAATGATGGGTGGTTGGGCAGATATTGTGTTATTGCGGTAGGCGGTATGCCATACGGAACCGTTGCCAATGAAACGCATTACCGCGACAGTGGGGCTCGACAGCCTTTGTCAAACGGGTTGGCGCGTATGGTTGGGTTGTGGAGAGTTGTTTAACATCTACTCCTGTGTAATGGAAATCATTATGAACATCAGCTATGCTAATTATTTCCCATCTGTTTTCTGCCGTTATCTCGGGACGCTTGTCCCGAGAAAAATGGCGTTCGTCAGCTCCAGTTTGTATCCAGCCTCTCATGGAGACTTCAGATGCCCCAACACCTGCAATGAGAAGACTAAATGCCTATGAAGAGACGACTCAACACCTGTGAAAGATGACTCGACGCCTGTGGAGAGACGACTCAATGCTGGTGATATGTTATGCCCTTAATATAACATGATTAACTAAATGTAATTTTCCATGTACTTTCCTGTAATGCACTTTCTGTAAAGCTGCTTTGAAACAAGTATTGTGAAAGGACTATACAAACAAACTTGAATTCACTTGCAGGGCCAACAGACACAGAGCTTGCAGCGGGGGAGCTTCACTGCAAAGCAGACAGGTACGTAATCCTCTTCTTTAAGTGACAGACAGAGAACTTACGGCTGGAGGTTTCACTGCAAAGCAGTCAGTTAAGCGTTCACTGTGTCTCTCTTCACAGTGGGCTGCCAGATAAATACACTCAACGGTCTGTGAAGTACAGCAATGTTAGCCTCTTCTTATGCAGTCAGAATGTGATGGAAAACTCCGGTAAGAAGTGGACATCCAGGGGTTTAGGTTCACGCTTCACACAGCAAACAGTGCATCACATCCCTTCATCTCAACAATTCAGCACTCAGTGGGAAATACTCATATATGGCCGTCGCCCTTCTTCTGAACTGGCATTCACATCAAGAGGTCCCACAGACACGAGAGGAGGATGGAAATTGATTTGGACTACTCATGATCTCTCACAAATGATCTTCTGTCCCATGGTTACCACCTTCTCATTGAATCAGCCTGCTCTTTCTCCCAACTCACAGCACCGTGCCCGTTTGCCGGCCCCACTTCCTCTTCACCACGGCTCACACTTTCTCTGAGAACACTTCTCCCAAAACAATGCCCCGTTTGGTCTGTACTTCCTCCTTTTATACTCCTCTAATCGCAACGCGTCCCAATCGCGAAGCTTTACTCCCCATGCACAGCTGCCAGCGACGTTTGGCTGATCACCCCATTTTCGGGGATTTTTGCGCTACCCTGGAACTAACCCGGTGTTCCTTTTTTTTGGGTCCGGCGGGAGGCAATCACGGCGAACATTAGTTCCCGCTTTGTTAGGGACAAAGTTGGATTTTGTTACCCTGTGACATGTACTTTTTCAAAATCTACAATTTTATATTTGTGCATTTTCCTATCGTTTGCATTTATTTTATTTCATTGCTTTTTTTTTTCTAAGCCAATTGTTTTTCTAAGCCCGTTGTTTTTTGTTTATGATTAAATGTCTTCCATCTTTCATTTATGCTATTTTAATTGTTAGTAATTATGCTGTTCTATGTTCCTGTCCAATTGACTATTTTATGCTGATGGGGTTTGACTTGTGTGGATCTTGACTTGTGGATCCTGACTTGTGTTTGACTTGTGTGGATCCTGACTTGTGTTTGACTTGAGTGGATCTTGACTTGTTTGACTTGTGTGGATCTTTACTTGTGTTTGACTTGTGTGGATCCTGACTTGTGTTTGACTTGTGTGGATCCTGACTTGTGTTTGACTTGAGTGGATCTTGACTTGTTTGACTTGTGTTGATCTTTACTTGTGTTTGACTTGTGTGGATCCTGACTTGTGTTTGACTTGTGTGGATCCTGACTTGTGTTTGACTTGAGTGGATCTTGACTTGTTTGACTTGTGTTGATCTTTACTTGTGTTTGACTTGTGTGGATCCTGACTTGTGTTTGACTTGTGTGGATCCTGACTTGTGTTTGACTTGAGTGGATCTTGACTTGTTTGACTTGTGTGGATCTTTACTTGTGTTTGACTTGTGTGGGTCTTGACTTGTTTCACTTGTGTGGATCCTGACTTGTGTTTGACTTGTGTGGGTCTTGACTTGTGTTTGACTTGTGTGGATCTTTACTTGTGTTTGACTTGTGTGGGTCTTGACTTGTGTTTCACTTGTGTGGGTCTTGACTTGTGTTTGACTTGTGTGTCTTGACTTGTGTTTGACTTGTGTGTCTTGACTTGTGTTTGACTTGTGTGGATCCTGACTTGTGTTGACTTGTGTGGATCTTGACTTGTGGATCCTGACTTGTGTTTGACTTGTGTGGATCCTGACTTGTGTTTGACTTGTGTGGATCCTGACTTGTGTTTGACTTGTGTTGATCTTGACTTGTGTGGGTCTTGAGTTGTGTTTGACTTGAGTGGATCTTGACTTGTTTGACTTGTGTTGATCTTGACTTGTGTGGATCCTGACTTGTGTGGATCTTGACTTGTGTTGATCTTGACTTGTGGGTCTTGACTTGTGTTTGACTTGAGTGGATCTTCACTTGTGTTGACTTGTGTTGATCTTGACTTGTGTTTGACTTGTGTGGATCCTGACTTGCGTTTGACTTGTGTGGATCCTGACTTGTGTTGACTTGTGTGGATCTTGACTTGTGGATCCTGACTTGTGTTTGACTTGTGTTGATCTTGACTTGTGTGGGTCTTGAGTTGTGTTTGACTTGAGTGGATCTTGACTTGTTTGACTTGTGTTGATCTTGACTTGTGGGTCTTGACTTGTGTTTGACTTGAGTGGATCTTCACTTGTGTTGACTTGTGTTGATCTTGACTTGTGTTTGACTTGAGTGGATCTTGACTTGTTTGACTTGTGTGGGTCTCGACTTTTGTAAATCCTGACTTGTGTTTGACTTGTGTGGATCCTGACTTGTGTTTGAATTGTGTTGATCTTGACTTGTGTGGGTCTTGACTTGTGTTTGACTTGTGTGGGTCTTGACTTGTGTTTGACTTGTGTGGGTCTTGACTTTTGTGGATAATGCCTTCTATTGTCTCTGTAGCACAGGAGCATTTTAAAAAAAAAGAGAATTTATTAATGTCATGAAATTGATTTGACACCATTTGCTTTTGTATTCATGGCTTGGACACTTATACCATTTTTAAGCCCCTTTCCCCCTTCTTAATACTCATTTTGTGCTATGACCATTTTTATGTCTGGTCTATTTGCACTGATGATATTGTGCTTTTGGTTTGCTATTCTTTGCATTTATTTAATCTTTTAATACTTCCATACCTCTGTTACCTTTCCCTTTAAACTGCTTGTAAATATGCTCTTGTCCTATTTGTTTTAGTCAATTTTAGTTGTATAGTGCTTCTCAAAATAGTTTAAAAGTCTCTTTATGCCACTTAATTTTAGCCTTTGTGTTCCTTTTCATCATTTATATTGATTTGTTCTAGTATCCTGTTCGAATCCCTCATTTAAGTTTGATTGTCAAATGATGGCCTTTGTTCATTATTTCTTATGTTTTTTTTATATTGTCTTTAAAATTTTGTATTTTTACACTTTTGTAAAAAGTCCCTATTTTTTTCCCCCATTGCTTCACGCTCATTTTTTCCCTTTTGTAGAAATGTTTTGTATTTATGCTGTTGATTGAATGTATTACATTTACAAATGTAAGGGAATACAACAGGCAATCATTTTCTTCTATACATAAATGGTTTGAAACTAACAAAAAAATGCATTAACTGTACTGTCATTTTAATGCATTGTAGTTTTAGGTTAATTAAATTAAATTATTAAATATCTCCAACTTCTTAAATGTTACTGTTCAGAGAGAGACTGTGGGCTTTCTGAAAAGGAACATGGCATTCTTGTGTGTACAGTCACTGCAAATCTTCACTACATTAATGCCTTTTATTATTTATACTTTTATAAATCTGTACAAGTAATTTGCTTTATACAACACAGTCCTGAAACTGCTGCTGTTGTATTTATGCCTTAACCTCATGTATTTAAGAAGTTTTTTTTATTGTCACAATGGCACTTTTTGTATAGGTGCATTTTTCCCATCTTTTGTATTAATTTCATTCCTTTTTCTTGTCTTTCCCTTTTTTTTCCTAAGCCTATTTTTTTTGTTTGATTTAATGTCTTCCATCTTTTATTAATGCTCCTTGTCTTAGTCAATGGGACAGGGACATTGAACGCTTTTAGAAAAATGGGAATGGGCATAAAAAGGCTTTACCCTGTTCTATTTTGTATTGAAAGGAACTGCGTCAAATGGTTTGTCTGTACTTTTTGCATAATTATGCACTTGTTTTTATTCTCTTACTGTCTTTTGTATGTTAGCATTAGTGGCTGTCTTATGCCAATTTTCTGCTTTGGTTCATCTGTTGTTGTGATCACTTGTATTTCATGCGCGATTTCATTCAGCCTGTTTGAATTTTGTTCTTCCCCTGATGGTATGGCTATGGGGTTCATGGGGTACTTAGTTCTCCACATTAACAGAAGTTAATGAAAATTAATTTTCTTTTTAAGTGTTCAACCGTTGGAATTGGGTGGGTGGGACTTGTAAAGACAAGGGACTCGTCAAAGGACTTGTGGATCTTGACTTGTGTTAGACTGACTTGTCCAGGGTTGATTTCAACCCTTCACCTCATCAATCAACTGCAGGTGCAAATCAAAGTTACTTGAGCTACAATATATAGGGGTGTATCCCACTCACAAAGACAATTTCTTTTTTCAGTTTTTTTTTGTTTTTATTTATATTGTACTAAATGTAATTTTTGTATTTATGGTTTCGCCTCTTGTTCCATTTAAGATCAATTTTGTCCTTTTATTATCCCTTTCTATTTTATGACCCTTTTGTCTTAAATAACATAAACAATAAAATTAAAAACCTAAATATACCATAAATGCATTTTTTAAATTATATATCTTTCACTGGTTTCTAACATTTTCTGTCTGCTTTTTATGTTATTGTTTGCCTTTCTTATATGCTATTGTTTTCCTTTCTAATATTGTAAAGCTTTGTATTGAAGTTGTAAACTTACTTTTTTGTATTTTGTTGCACTTGATTTTGTTTTAATTTCTTTGTTTTTTTTTTGTTTGTTTTTTTACTTGGGTTAACAAAAGGCTTCAAACAGAACATGGAAACAAATATGGACCATAAACCGTGTTTCTACTCTTTTATGACTTTACTTGTGCCCATATTGTGTAATTTGGAATCGTTTGGAATTTAATTTTGGAATAATTTTGTGAATCGTAACTTTTTTGCATTTTCAAAATTGCTTCAAGTTTTTGTGAGGTTTATAATCTGTTTTGGTTTATTTTGTGTTCCCATTAAACAGCTGGAGGGACTGGCCAACACAGGATAGTCAATCCAGTCTGATGTCCTTCACACTCAGCCTCTCATTGATGCTGCTCCTCCCCCCCTCCTCTACCTGTGTCATCTAGTTAATGTGGCCTGTGTTTGTTGGCTACTTTCAGCTCTTTGGTTCATCCTTCATTTACCCTTTACACATTGAGTCCACCTTTGTGCCAAGCCCCAGACTTGTGGCGGAGCTGGTAATCTGAGGCCCAAGACAGGTCGACAGAGTGAAAGTTAGGTTGATGCTCTATCAGGTCCTCCATGGGCAGTTATTGCCCTGCAGTGCAGTGGTCTTGTCTCTGCCCAGGTCCCCATCTCTAATGGCTCCATCTGAGTTGGTTGTCCACCGAGTTGTAACTGGCACATTCACCAAAGGTCCCCCCTATCCTTTTATTGACTGTTTTGGCTCTACATCCCATCCCTAAAGCAGCTTTGTCCACTTGACTTATTTTTGCTACTTTGTATTGTTTAACCTTGTTTTTTGTATTTCAGCACATTTTAGGTTTTTTATTTTAGGATTTTTTTATGCCCTCTATATTTCAATCAGTCTGTCTTTTTTTCCTTTTGTTCAGTATTTTATTTACTAACTTCTATTTAAACTTTGTTCTGTGCCCTTAATGGTCTTGTCTAAGCTATTCTAAGACAGAACAAAATAAAGTTGTGAAGCATAAAAGCTGCATGTCTCAGATTATTCTTCTTATTGCCCTTTAGTGTTTGTATTTCTGCTGTTTGCCTTTTATGCCTTTGCCAGTTAAGTCCCTTTTTTGTGCCCTGTTGTAGTGATGGTTTTTACATCACCTGTTCCTTGTGGTGTTAGATTAAATTTGTAATACCCTTTATGCCTTAATGCTCCTTAAATTTTGTCTCTGCACTTATGTCCTTCTCATGGTCTCAATGGCACTTTTTGTATTTGTGCTTTTTTCCCATCTTTTGTATTTTGATCTCTTGCCTTTGCATTTGAACCCTCAATGCTCTTGTCTTTGCATTTTCCCTTAGCCTATTTTAGTTTTATTGGCTTTTTATGATTGAATGTTTTCTATATATCTTTAATTTATGCTCCTTGCCTTGTAAGCCATTGTGCTGTTTTATGGCCCAGTCCCATTGAC